AAATGAGTTTGTCTAGTGAAGCAAAAAAATGTTTTCATGAATCGTTGCAGCAACAGTGCTTAAATCAAAAGTTAGCCAAATATAATAAAGCAAAAAGGCTTTTTACGGGTTTAACAGATCTTGATTATAAACCTGGCTATAAAGAACATATATTTTATAAATATTAGCTTGTATCTAGGCCCGAAGAGGTGACCCTAAAGGGTCATAGCTATACTAGCTCTTCTGATAGAAATGATACTGCACTTTTAGATACATATCGACCCGAAAAGATTTATTCTCAATATATAATTCGGATGGCAGGAAAAGGTTATACAGTGATCGATCATCCCTCTGAAGTTTATAGAATACCTAATACTCGCGAATATATTGATAGTAACTAGCCTCTTCGTTTGATTATTGATATTGATGCAAGGCAAAAGCCTGATCCTACAAATCCTAAAGTGCCTTCCTTAGACGATAAAAAAATTATACAAGAAGATTTGTTATCTCGAATTTTAGTTGCTTGTGCAGATGCATTAAGCCTTATTTCTGTTTGTATGCTTTTCTTAAATTCTTTTGCTTTAGCGAGTTCATCGAACGCTAAGAAATATAGTTGCATATTATTTATCCTCGTGCCCAATTCATAGATTATAGAGAACTTAAGGGATTCACAGAAAAAGTTATAGAATTAGTTGGGGAACCTTATTCGAAATTTATTGATTATAGTCTTCCTAAAATACATTTTAATCTTTAGCTTCTGGAATCAGCTAAGAAACATCGTATTAAAAGACCTGCTATTTCTTCTGTTAAAAACAGATTTAAAAATCTAGATGATTATCTGGTTCAGCTAAAGAAAATTATTTTGTAATCTTGCCACGAACCTTTTCTTCTAAGGAGCCAGTAAAAGAAAAATTACAACCTATCTACGATGAAAATGCTTTGAGTAGAGGTGCCAATCTAGTTATTGCAAAATATGAGTGGCTCCAGATTGGAAGAATCGAAAAGGAATTCATCAACTTTCAAGCAAAATCTGTTAAAGAATGCCCTATATGTGATGTTAAACATGAAAAAGACCAACTCTACCGATTTATTCGAAAAAATAGATATTTTATACTCAAGTGCTATCAGCAAAAACAATATAAACCAGATCACAAAGGGCTTAGTTTCAATAAGGTATTAGATAAAGTCAAATCAGAAGTAAAACTCAAGAAGTGGAGATTAATTGAAAGATTGCTCAAGGCTCTAAAAAATCCATGCCCACTCGTAGAATTATCTGGAAATAATATTAATGTAAAGAAAATGGAAAACGCCCCAGAAGCTTATTTAGATTTCATGAGTGAGGAATCTACTACAACCCTAATTCGCTCACCCATTGCTAGCGGAAAAACAAAAACCTTAAGAGAGATTCTTAATTCTTTAGCTAAAAGTGAAGCAAGTTTACCTTGTTTTAACTG